AAGATTTCTCCATCCCTGGATTCAACAATACTTTGTTGCTTGGTATAAATAATTCCCTATCCAGATAAAGTATATTTATTTATGTATGGCTGAGACATAGAAGCTCACAACTCCAAAATTATTCTGAGCAGCTTACAGCAAGCTAAGTCAAAACAGGAAAGAAAAACAAGAACAAGATAACAAAAAAAAATGCTGCGCATCTGAAGAACCCACAATAACAAAACCTATAAGGTTCTACAAACTGTCTCCCAAAGTCTGGGACAACAACCAGGTTTTTCATCCAGAGCATCATTGGGGTAGACATCACAACAGGTAGATGCATTGACATCAGTGGGTGGATTCAGCCAGTTTGGGCTGGTTTGGGCAAACCAGATGTTAAATTTACATCTGGTTCACCGAATTGATAGTTGAACCGAGCGGCTGGCCCTGCTCACCCCGCTCCTCCCCTCCCAGGAGTCTCCACACAACCCATTTTGGATGCAGGTAAGTGCAGGTTCCGTGCGGAGGTTCTGGGAGAGTGGAAAACGGCCTTCCTGGAAGTTCTGGAAGTCCGGAAACGGGCATGTTTCCAGCTTCTGGAGAGCCTCCAGAGCCCAGGAGAGGCCATTTTCACTGCCCCAGAGGCCCGAGGGAAGCCTCCGGACTAGTGGCGGGATTCAAATTTTTTTACTACCGGTTCTGTGGGTGTGGCTTGGTGGGCGTGGCAGGGGAAGGATACTGTAAAATCTCCAGTCAGAGGCGGGATTTGCCGGTTCTCCGAATAACTCAAAATTTCCGGTACCGGTTCTCCAGAACTGGTCAGAACCTGCTGAATACCACCTCTGCTCCAGACTCTGAGGAAGGCGAAAAACAGCCCTCCCGGAAGTTCTGGTAGGCCACACCTACCATGGCCACACCCACCCAGCAACCAAGCAGAGAACTTTTGAATTCCACCCCTGATTGACATTCAATTTAGCAATGAACATTTCCATTATCATTATCGTATGAATTTGTCTTTTGGGGTGGTAATAGGAATCCTTCACCCTCCCTCTGCTACAGGAGCAAGCCTAGTGAAATATTAAATTTTACTGTGAATTTAGTCCAACTCAAGAACCTTCCAAGAACATTCAGTACGATGAGGAGTTTTAGAGACCAAAATCATTGCCTGGATGTAGCTTAATTTTTTCTTCTTCTATTTTTTATGATGAAGTCATTTCCTTCCCTCTTTTTTGCCTGAGTTTAGTTCCCCTCTCTCTGGCTCCTGAGATATGTCAGCTATGGATCCTGGTGACTTTTTTCAGCTACTGGTAGGGCCTAACCCGGATCAAACTGGCAGCGCTAGGTGTTCTGACCCACGCCCTTTTCCAACAAATCAAACACAAGCCAAATAGAACAGAAACCTTGTAATGTTTTTGCAAAATAATTGGCTGTGATAAGCACAAGCCTTGCCAAACTGTGCAAGACTTGCCAAAAGATAACAGACAAGTAATAATTTGCAATACAAGAATCTTTAAATACAAACTCAGGATACTGGAATGTCCACGAAGCTGGAGTTTCAAAACGTCTTTGCTTTCTGCAAAGTTCCTTTCACAGCTGGCTTTTATCTTCTTGAAGGAGGGGCTATTACCTTGCAGCCTTACTCCCGAGTCACCCATGCTGTTGTAGTTGCTCTTTCCTCCAAGGAATCCTGCGTGCACACGCACTTGGCAAAGGCTCCTCAGGAACCTCCTCATCACTACTGCCAGCCCCCACAATTTCTGAAGGCAGCAGTCCATTCCCTAATGGTCCTGTCCCCTCATCAGAGTCCTCGCTCTCCTTAGCTGTCCGCATCTGCTGCTGGCTAACCACAACACTAGGCATGTTAGAGCCAGAAGCTTGGAACAGACTGACAACTGAAGGCACCAAGCTCAAAACTGGGAAACCGTGAGTTCTACACTCTCTTTAAGTGTAGAACTGACTGGCCTGAAAGCCAGTCAGGTGACTTTGGGCCAATCACCAGGAGACAGTGAGTTCTAGTTCCGCTTTAGGCGTGAAAGCTAGGGGAGTCAGTCCATCTACCTCAACTGAACTGACCTCACAGAATAACAATACAGAATAACAGAGTTGGAAGGGACCTTGAAGGTCTTCTAGTCCAACCCTCTGCTCAGGCAGGAAGCCCTATAGCTTTTCAGACAAATGATTGTCCAGTCTCTTCTAAAAATTTCCAGTGTTGATGTTGGAGCATTCACAACTCCTAGAGACAAGCTGTTTCACTGATTAATTGTTCTAACTGTCAAGAAATTTCTCCTGAATTCCAGGTTGCTTCTCTCCTGGGTTAGTTACCATCCATTGCTTCTTGTCCTGGCTTTGGGTGCTTTGGAGAATAGATTGAACCCATCTTCTTTGTGACAGCCTGTCAAATATTGGAACACATCGTATCACCACCACCCCTAGTCCTTTTCATTAAACTAGATATACCCAATTCCAAATTGTTGGATTGTTGTGTGGAAAATAGGAGGAAGAAGAAATATTAGTTATCATTATGCATGTTCACCACCTTACAAAGTAATAAAGGTGGGACGAAAATGAATTAAATATTAAATAAATTCATTCCCACAACTGATGTCAACAGAGCTGGGATATAATCTTTTGGGACTCCATTAGCTAGTCAGTGATAGCCACTTGTGATACTAGACAGCAAGGGAAAAGACTTTCAACTTCACTTCCTTCTTGAAGAGTTTTATTGTGGTATTTTGTTGTCCTGCTATACTGTAGCATCTCAGTGATTTAGTTATATCGTTTTGTTGTAAGTTTCCTTACATTGAGCATTGGTGACATTCCAAGATTTCAGCAGCTGCCCAAGAAGCAGGTCAGCAAGTGGAAAAGATTTATGTTTCCCTAGGCTTTCAAATCAATCATATATTATTTTATGATTCTACTGTACAGTTTTATGGTGCCATTTATTATGTTGCAGGGTTTTGTTGTAAAGTTTTACTGATTTAATAGATCTGCTTTTCTGTGGTCTGTTTATTCATTTATGTGTTCGATGCAGTGAGTTCTGACAAAGATTTGGGGCTCTAGAAACTACTCGTGAGGAGAACATTTTAACAGAAAGCAGAAATGAATTTTTGTCATTTCCCTGTGAATTCATAGACATATTCATCTCATTTCTGAGCAGCCACATGGAAGTGATGGGCCACTGTTTTCATCACGGAGTTTCTTTGACTTCTTAAACTATCTGTAGTCTACAAATCACCTAGCGGTCTCTCATTCATGTTCTAGCACATTCCAAGCCTTCTTAGTTTTTGAAGATCAGCCAAACTATGTGATCCTGCCCTGGGAATAAAATACAGGTAGTCCTCCAGTTGCCACATTTCATTTAGTGACCATTTGAAGTTGCAACAGCACTGAAAAAAAGTGACTTATGACTGTTCATATTCCTCTGCATAAACAGAGGGATAGAATCAAGATCACATGAAGTGTTCATACCGCTTTATAATGCCTTGGTAAGGCCACACTTGGAATCCTACATCCAGTTTTGGTCGCCATGATGTAAAAAAGATGTTGAAACTCTAGAACGGGGGTCTCCAACATTGGCAACTTTAAGACTTGTCGACTTTAATTCCCAGAATTCCCACTAACCTGCTTTCCAGCTCCATTCTCCTGTGTCAGGATTCCAGCAATCACTCTGATTAAATAATGATTCTTGAGCCAAACTTCAAAAAACTTCAAAGAATTCATTAGGAGCGACATACTGGCATGACCTGTATGATGCTGATTCTGGCATACATAACTATAGTCACCCCCTCGCCCCTGGGTGTGCCATAAATCAGTTTCTCCAATTAAGCATTACATGGGCTAGGTGTCATCCATCATGTTCTCCAATTAAAGGTTTTCATGAGCAAAAGCTCCAGTAGGTTAGCTACAATCTTTTCTAAGATAAGTTAGAATGTGCTTCCAACGTTGCTGGCTGAGGAAATCTGGGAGTTGAAGTCTACAAGTCTTAAAGTTGCCAAGGTTGGAGACCCCTGTTCTAGAAAAAGGGCAGAGAAGAGCAACAAAGATTATTAGGGGACTGGAGGTTTAAACATATAAAGAACAGTGTCAGGAATTGGGTATGTCTAGTTTGATGAAAAGAAGGACTAGGAGTGAAATGATAGCAATCTTCCAATATCTCAGGGGCTGCCACAAAGAAGAGGGAGTCAAAGCACCTGAGGGCAGGATAAGAAGCAACAGATAGAAACTAATCAAGGAGATAAACAACCTAGAACTAAGGAGAAATTTCTTGACAGACAGAACAATTAATCAATGGAACAACTTGTCTCCAGAAGTTGTGAATGCTCCAACACTGGAAGTTTTTACAAAGAGACTGAACAACCCTTGGTCTGAAATGATATAGGGTTTCCTGCCTAAGCAGGGTCCCTTCCAGTTCTAATATGACAAAGAATCTGGATGGTCCAAGCAAATTGGCAGATATATCAGAGTCAATAGGTGGGCCCGATTTAGATCTCTTGTGGGTGCAAAGGGATTGGAGACTGGTGATGCATTTGACCCCATCCTCCAGCTCAGCCTGGTCATCTTCTAGATCACCCTTCCCTCTGTCTTGGACCCCTTCCTCTTCCTTGGGTTCTTCTGTGCTGCTTTCCCTTTCCTGCTTTCTGTCTTCAAAGTCTAAGTCCTTATAGGAACTTGGCAAAGGCAGAAGGTAGACCGTCTCAAAGGAATTCACCTCCCCTTCTTTGGAAGGAGCTGGCAAACCAGGTGGTGGTTGCTGTAACACAAAAATATTGTTAAGAGGTTCCCTCTCCTCCTCTTTTCAGGAACCGAAGGCCAGTTCCTTCCCTCAAGCTCAGCCTGGTCATCTCCTACCGTCATTGTATCTTTGAATGGTCACTAAATAAATGATTGCAAGTCGAGACCACCTGTGATCGCATTTTTACTGGAAAGAATGGATCCCACCAGCACCCAAATCTCTAATCTCTTCTCTCCCCTTTTAGGTGCTAACAAGATTCCTCTGTTTCCTCTCTTCCTGTCCCATCCAGGTCAACGTCTTCATCTCCTTCGTTTTCCCAATGGCGGTTATCTCCGTCCTCAACACCATCATAGCCAACCAACTTATCATCATGTTCAAGCAAGCGGCCCAAGAACACCAAGTGTGCACAATTGGAGGACAGCAGACCATGCTTAGCATGTCCATGGAACCTGGCCGTGTTCAAACCTTGAAGCACGGAGTCCGAGTTCTACGTACGTACCCCTCTGGTTTGAGGCCACCTTCCTCTTCTCTAACATTCAGTTTATCCATATGGCTGACATCCTGCCCCTGTGGCTTGGAAATGATGTATTTGTCAGGATTCCAGCAATCACCCTAATGAAATCATGATTCTCGAGCCAAACTTCAAAAAACTTTAAAGAATTCATTTGGAGCGACATACTGGCATGACCTATATGAAGCCAATTCTGGCATATGTAATTACAGTCACCTGTGACTCCCCCCCTCACCCTTGGGTGTGCCATAAATCAGTTTCTCCAATTAAGCACTATATGGGTTAGGGGTCATCCATCACATTCTCCAATTAAAGATTTTCACTGGCAAAAGCTCCAGTAGCTTAGCTACAGTCTTTTTAAAGATAAGGTTGGAATGTGCTTCTAAGTTCATTTGCTGTATACTTCTCCAGTCTTCCCTCTCCCTCCTCTTTCTAATGGCAATTTAGAAACAAGTATAGAAATGTTTTATAAGTTGAGAGTATTTTGACTTCCAGAGAAGAAACGTCTAATACTCCCAACTACCTGGGGGATATTTGAACCAGTTGTGTTGGGTCCATGTAGTGCTTGATGTCTGTTTGTGGCAATCCATAATGTCCTGAAAGGAGCAGTGTTGAGCCCTTCCTTCTCAAGAGGTCATCCTTGGATCCCACTGTGTCAGCATGATACAAAAAAGATGTCGAAACCCTAGAAAGAACAACAAAGATGATAAGGGGTTCTGGAAGCTATATTATTATTCATTGTCCCACAGTCAGCCAGATATTCAGAGTGAGTTTGGCATTTCTGTCTACCAATCGAGTCCTCACCAAGGACCTGTGATAGGCAGAGGTGGATTTATTTATTATTAGTACTATTATTATTCTTTTATTCATTAAACATGAAAAACTCAGCCAACTGAACATTTAAAAATTATTATTATTGTTGTTGTTATCTCTTTTATTCATTAAACATGAAACTAAATGTTTGATCAATTGAACATTTAAAAATGTATCACAAATATCACTGACTGGCACTGATGGTTGATACGGGTTGCTGCCAGCATCCTAGTTATCAACCAAGTATCTTCTTAAAATGTACGATGTTCAAATTAGCGCAGGTTTTTTGCAGTTATTGTTATTGTTGTTGTTGTTATCTAGCATATGGCATCTACAGAAGTCAAGCAATCACTGATATACAAATATTCGTTTAAATAAATATACAATGTATATGTATGCGTGTATCTATGTATGTTCATTTGTGATATTCCATGCAATCCCTGCCATCAACATTTTGTAACTAGAGGAAGCTGTGCCATTGGCTGTATCTTGAATTAGCACATAAGGAAAGAATGATAGATCAGACAGACAGACAGGCAGACAGACAGACAGAAAGACAGACAGGTTGTGTACGTGTAAGAGAGAGAGGGGGGAGGGAGAGAGAGGGAGAGAGAGATGATAGATAGAGAGATAGAGAGATATAGATGATAGATAGATAGATAGATAGATAGATAGATAGATAGATAGATAGATAGATAGATAGATAGATAGATAGATAGATCGATCACCATTTGGTTTTTAAAAAGGCATAACAATCCATATGGATTTTTTTCTACAAACTGCAATCATGAACTGTATATGTATTTTTCCCCAAAATACATCATTTGCATTCATTTTCCAATAGAGTATACACACATTTTCTAAGCAAATAATAATAAAACTCAAAGAGATGCAGATTCATTAAAAAAAATGGAATCTAACCACATATTAATTTATTAATGAAATTATGTTAAGATGCCTAAAAGAAAAAGGCAATAACATAATTTTCAGTACTGCATGCACAGTATTGTCCAAATAATGCATCCAAGGACAGAGAATTCTTGTTCTCCTTTGAACTACCACTCTTTCTTGATCTGCAAATTCATTTAAGATACAGCCAATGGCCCGGCTTCCTCTAATTACGAAGTGTTAATAGCAGGGATTGCATAGAATATTACAAATTAACAGAAAGACCCTGTTAATTGATTACTCATTTACCAAGACATGGCTAGATAGATGAGTGAATAAAATATAAATTATTGTGCCTAATAATATCAGTGGCCATAAATAAGCAGGAAAAAAAGCCTTCTTCCAAGCCATCCTGTTCTGTGTTCTGAAGAGAGGAAAAATATGAAAGACATAATAACAAAGGCAAAAACCAAGATTAGGTTGAACAACGTCATTTCATCATTTCTTCACCCTGATCCAAAATTTAGCCATTGTTATAAAATTCAGTTCGTTTTACAGAGAGAGCTACTCCTTTGTCTGTCACGGAAATCATAATATATGCTGGAATTGCATGCAGAAATCAAACACTGATCTAAACACTAAGCCTCTGTTATACAGGTAGTCCTCAGCTTATGATTGCTTGCTTAGCAACCAAAGTTACAATGGCCCCAAGAAAGAGAACTTATAACCTGGAATTGAAATTCCAATGGTTGGGTCCCCTCTGCACTTACATAATTAAATTTTGGGCTCTCAGCCAACATGGCTACGTTTAACGGCTGTTTGCAGCATCCTGTAATCATGTGACAGCTTTTGACCATCGTTTTGCCCCAAATTAGCACTTATGTCCAGTGTCAGGTCCACTATCATGCTCTAGTGCAGGGGTCCCCAACCACCGGGCCGCGGATTGGTACTGGTCCGTGGAACATTTCCTACTGGGTCGCCGGTTTGCTGGGCGCCGCCATCTTGTTTGATGAGAAAGTGTTTCCGGGTGAGCTTTTCCGGTTGGAAAGCGGCGTTTGGGTCCTGAAGGAATCTTCGCGCCTTAGTTTCATCGAAGTGGGGGGGCTTCAAATGAAACTAAGGCGCGAGGATTCTTTCAGCACGCATGGCAAGGCAAGCCGAGCAGCCATCCCGAAGCAAAGCCCATCGACAAAGGTACAAAGGAGGAGTTGAAGGTGGCGGGGAGAAGCGGGGGACGGCTGGCTGGCCGGTCGCTCGGCTCACCTTGCCTTGTCATGTGTGCTGATGCCGGTACCGGGCCGCGGATCATTTTGTGATGCCAGTACCGGGCTGTGGCACAAAAAAGGTTGGGGGCCACTGCTCTATTGTGTTGTAGGAAGTTAGCACACATCCCTCTCCTAGAAAAATGAAATATCCTAGGAAATATTAAAAAGGCAGAACATTTCCCTTAAAAAGAGCCGAAACCAGAGGTGGTATTCAGCAGGTTCTGACCAGTTCTGGAGAACTGGTAATGGAAAATTTGAGTAGTTCGGAGAACCAGCAAATACCCCCTCTGACTGGCCCTGCCCCCATCTATTCTCTGCCTCCCAAGTCCCAGCTGATTGGGTGGGTCTTCTTTTGTTACATAACAAAGATCTCCAGGTCAAGCTATAATAGGAATTGCCCAAATCCCTTTCATTACATCATCATCCAGCAAAGCTCAACCAAGCCTGGAACTCAGGACAGCCTACAGAGTTGCCCCTGCATGGCCCCAGGGGGAGTCTGACAACCAATCAGAACACAAGGATCAAATTCAAATCCCAAAAGAGGACTCTATGCATCTCAGCCCTCCCTTCTTTTCCTTCACCCAACATCTTAAAGCATGCAATCATCCCTTCCTTCTTTGGAGCTCCAAGCCATGTGATCCTGTCCACCATTAAATCATCTTTCCAAACAGCCTCCGTGGTTCCAATGTCTTTCTTCCCCACTTGGAACTGAACCCAGAAGGATAATTCTTCCAACAGTGTCCTGCCATTATGCTACAGGGGATGGGGGATGCCTTGTCTGGGATTTTTCTGTTTATGCTGTTCACTTGAGAATTAGGGAGGGGGACTGTCTTCAGAGATGGGACCGTCTTCTTCCCAGCGGGTTGTTGCCGGTTTCCAAGGCTGTCGTGCCCTGAGTGTGAACTACTATCTGTCTAGCACCTCAGCGTTCTCAAAACATCTTCTCCGCATCAGAATTGAGTGGGAAAGGATCTTGGAGGTCTTACGTGTTGTAAAATGCAGCTGAAATTTTATTTTCACTGGGTGAACACTGTAAAGCTAATCTTTTAAATCATCCATACGTCATGAGCAACGGTCTCATTCTAAGGCGGTGGGGTATTGGAACGATTTCTGCAATGGATCAGACTGCTTGGGTGCACACATTATTTATTTAATGTATGATGGAAACATGCAGAAGAGAAGTAAGCATATATACACAGCCTATGTAATGAATAGAAAATAGAAAATAAATAGAAAATAGAATAGAAGCTGGAAGGGACCTTGGAGGTCTTCTAGTCCAACCCTTGGCTCAAGCAGTAGACCCAATACCATTTCAGACACGTGACTGTCCTGTCTCTTCTTAAAAGCCTCCAGTGATGAAGCACCCACAACTTCTGGTGGCACAGTGATTAGAATGCAGAATGGTAGGCTACTTCTGCTGACTGCCAGCTGACTGCAATTCGATAGTTCGATTCTCACCAGGCTCAAGGTTGACTCAGCCTTCTATCCTTCCGTGGTGGGTAAAATGAGGACCCAGATTGTCGGGGCAATAGGCTGACTCTGTAAACTGCTTAGAGAGGGCTATGAAGCACTGTGAAGTGATATGTAAATCTAATGTTATTGGTATCACATTGGCTACCAGTGGACTGGTCAGGGGTGTTGGGATTGGAAAACCAAAGGAATTGCTTTATGCTTCATGTGGGACCTTCAGATTCCACCTGACTTTACTGCACCCAGTTTCTCTCAGTAAAAGTTCTTTTGATTCAACTCAATGGATTCAAGAGTGTTGCTTTCCTGAGGGGACGACTGGAGTAGGTATGATATCCAGTTTAAGTCCAAACTGAGTCTATTGCAAACCATTAGTTCACTTAATGAATACCACATTCACTTAATGACCACCAGAAAAATATAAAATTTCACAATCATCATGATATATGACCGTAAATGGCCATTTGTCAAGGACTAATTGTACCAGATCCGATGCACAATTCCAGGTGACCACCAGGTGGAAGCAAAGAGTTAGACTTTTTATATA